TGGTTAAGCATAATTTACTTTGACGAATAGGTCCACCATGATAGTTTTCTGAATATACCCTGCTGAAAACACAGATTCACTAAAACTCGTGGAATTTATTAGGTTAAACCCCTAAACCTATGTTGATGATCCTTTTTATGCTTTTATATAAATTATATTGATGATTTATGATAAACGTTAACTACCATCGATAGTCACCAGCCAGGGGCAGTGACGCTAAGCACTTGAACCCAGTGTTGATACAACGGCTCCCCCAGCCCTGCCAATCGCCGGAAGGCTTTGTGACTTTCGATTCCTGGAGACAGACGATCGAGGCCCGCTGCTACATGACTGTTTCTCTGACGACATTGTGACAAGCACGGCTATTCAAGCCACGCGCGTTCCTGATAATGAGGTGATTGGCACTCATTAAGTGAACGGCTTTTGCGATGATGGCCATGTCCTGCTCAGAACAGCCTTGCCGTGGCCCTAGGACCTTGGCCGGTGCGCCTAGGAAATAGCTCGCGCATTGCTGCGCGTTTGGAGGACGAAAGCGGTCACGGGAACATTTCATGGAATCTGGTGGTGATCATGTCATCGGGCGTGGTGGACACCCTCTCCTCCGGCCTGCGCGTCCACTTGTTCAGCAGCACGCGCTTGGCCTACTTCTCAGTTGGTCGTGGAAGGCAGACTTTGTGAGCCGGTCGCTGCGTTGCGGGACACAACAATCATCGACCACCCTGGAGACGCGGGTGTGAGGGTTCGTGCGGAGAAGCGGCACATCCAGCGGCAGCCTGAGTGAGTCTACGAACGATGCGGCCGGCTATGGCTGCGATGTCACGTCGTTGGCGTTCGCGGGCGACAGGTCTTCCGCGTCAAGCGCCGTGGCATCATCCGCCCTTGCAAGGTCATGGGGCGACTGAGCGGGGCAGCGACAACGGAGCCCAGGGCGTTCGGGAGGGAGGGGTGATGTACCGTGGCCTACTCGAGTGGAGGCTGGTGGGCCATTGGCGATCCCGGGCCAAACTCGTAGTCCTCTGTACCGGAGAGGCACATGTCCACCTCAGCTGTGATCGGCCGCTCGGGGCTGTCCTCAACATCCCGCCTAGGCGCCCAGCAACGCAGGCCGAGAGGTCATCCGGCCCAGCAACAGGCCCAGCAGCAACTCGTGGGGCATAGGCTAAGAGAAGCTGGAACTCGACATCTAGGGCACGACCAAAGACGCCCCCCTGGCGACTAGGGGGCGCAGTCCCGCCGCGCGGCCATATATCAATGGAGTGGGCACGCTCGACGCTGGTGGCATGGGCGTCACAGCGGCTGACACCTTTGCTTGGCGTGTACATTGCCACTTCGCAGAGCATAGGGTCCAGCGCGGGCTAGGTGATAGGAAAGGGTGAGCACACGCGTGCAGTGGTGGATCCAAAGGGGGGGCTGGACCTAATGTCTTGATTTCAAGCCTAATCACTCTAGCAAAAGCTTGATTTCACCATTAAATCTTCATGCAAATCAACATCTCCATTGTTTTAGCCCCCCTTATCCCGCATCGTGCATCCGCCAGCGTGGCAGGTCAAAGAAAAAAGTATCAGCCATGGTCTGCACGACACGGGTCTCTGGTTCGGCACGGGGCACGCTAACACGCAGACGGCAGGGCATGGCGCCGCGCCGCGCGACCAGGGGGCATGTCACATCGCCCATGACAATCCCGAGCATCGTTTCCAGGGCCCAGAACGCGAGACCGGACCCATGGCCCAACCGTGGTTCATCCACGCCACCGAACCGCGTCGTTCGTGGCCGAGCGTCGCCACCTCCATCGCCACTGAACCCAGGGTGGTAGCCGTTATAGTTGTTGTTGCCGCTGTCACTGTCGTCGCTGGTGAAGTCCATGTCGTCGTCAGACGACGACGACGGCATGTGCCAGTCCTAAATCTCGATGATCCGTAGGCGCACGAGATAACGTAGGGCAGGGACCTCGTCGTGGATGATCTCATGCGGCCATACGTACAGCGGCGGGCCGCCATCGTGCTCCTCCTCCGGCTCCGGCACCGCCATGATCTTCTCATCGGGAATGAGGTCAGGGTGGTCACACCATGCCGCCATGAAGAGCTCGCGCTCGTCATACGGGTCAGCGAGCGCTTCTGTGTTCACGATGTCAACGTTGGCGCTGGACAAACCGAGGATGGCCTACGCGGTTTCCTTCGATCTTGCGTGCGATGGGATGCCTTTCATGCCGACAACAACCCTAAACCTGAATGCCCCAGCGGAGCCCATGATGAGTCGGCTCCACCTCCACTAGCGCAGGGCGAAGGGAGCCGCCGGGGGCATCAGGGTCCCAAGCATAAGCTCGAGGTCCTCATGGTGAGTGAACCAAACGATGAAATCTTGTTGGTATATTTTAACACACATAGATAAATTCGCAAGCGCACGGATATCGCTGTAGCTTTCATCCGAAAGTACTCCAAATATCGTATCCACAGGAAAACATGTGAGACTAACTACGGTCTAACTTAACTAAGGGTAGCAATAAGGTAAGGATAAATAGGAGCGTAGAGAGGAAAACTAAGGTTCTCTAATTCAGACTTGGGTAAGCTATGTCTTCTACTATTCAACTGAGGACATTACTATGGAAAGACACTAGCAGAGGATGCGTTCCTTCGTAACCACGTCCTATGTGCCCTTACAAACGGAAGGTGGACTACAGAGGATTCAACGAGGCTATAAGAGTCACCCTCACGAGCCATCACCGATCCAGAATGCAGTATACATCCACAAGTAACCAGAGTCTAAGCCCTACGCTTACACTACAATTACTACTTTACTCTTCCTGGATAAAGAATAAAGCACTCAAACAAGTTGTGAACCTGATGAATAATATAAACAAGAAGCTTACTTGAATCAGAAGTTAATTACTAGAGAAATCTCAGAGGCAAGCTCAGATAGAACTTGGATCTGTCAAGGTACAAGCTGTAGAGAGAGCACCGACAGGTTGGCTTCTCCTCCAAACTCTTCCCCCACTCTCCATCTCACTATTTCTATTTATAAGACTAGATCCTATGGAGGACTAATCTTGTCTTGATAGCTGGCTCTGATCCTGACGAGGAGAATATGAATTAGGGTTTCAGGATGGCTTCAGGGAGGGGGGCAGGGGCTGGTATATATAGGCCATAGCATAAATTCTGGACCCTCGGATCAAACTAACTTGAAAGAACTACGTAGATGCAATCTAGGAGGCGGTGGGAAACCGACGTAACGAGGCGGAGGCTGACAGGTGGCCCCAGGGGTTAGGCGGCCTACAGGTGGGACCGACCGGCCCCACATGGCAGCCCCTCAGGTCCTGCTTTGGTGTGGTGTCCTCTGGAGTCCTCTAGAACCTTCTGGTGTCCGTTTCGCGGCGAATAAGCACGATTAATTCTGACATGTAGGTCACCTTAACGGTTTTCTAGATAAACCCTGCATAAAATACAGATTCACCAAAACTCGTGGAATTTGTTAGTTTAAACCCCGAGACCTATGTTGGTGATCCTTTTTATGCATTTATACAAGTTATGTTGACGGTTTATGATTGATGTTAACGACCGTCAACACCGGCGAGGGGCCTGGACCGCCTTTCCACGGCCAGAGGGAGGAGGGGTGTCGGACTCGCCCAGAGAGGCCTCCGAGTCGGAGAAGTGAAGCCCCTCAGCGGACCTCTCCAGAGATGTGGGGAAGGGCTTGGCCTCGGGGTTGAGGGAGCTGGAGCGAAGGACGAGTTCGGCGTGGGCTGCCACGGCAAGAGGGGGCAGCTCAAGGAACACGGAACGGCCAGTGCTCCGAGCTACCTCGCCCTCCTCAACCTCGTCCGCCCAAGAACGACAGGAGCAGGAGCCACGTTCCTTGGCTACGGTAGACGGCGCGACCAGTGAGGTCAACGGCGTGAGGGCGGGTGGACGGTGCGACCGGGGCGGTGAGCGGCGTGGGGAGGGGTGGACGCCGGGGCCGGAGTGGCCACCGGCGGTTGGGCGGGAGGAGCTCAGTCTCTCACAAAACTCTATCCCATGAAACTAACAAGAGATTTTAGACTTCTCCCTTCCAACTCCCATTCCCTCTCATCAGTTCCCTCCACCCAAACGAGCCGTAAGAGCAGCTCAAGCGTATGTAAAAGTTTGTGGTGTCGCAAAATCGAACACATTGTGGCATCATAATAAAAATCAGATGTTACAGATGCGTCAACAGAACCAAATAAAAAACCTTAGTTATGAATGGAGACAAATATGATGCTTCATAGAAGAGTAAAGAATTGACATGTGGACAAAGAAGTACTATTTTACTTGTTCGTGGGATGGGTGACAGGTCCCACCAACCAATGCCCACACCGTGTACATCAAATCTTTTGACATGGCTTAGATTTTGAAGATGACTACGTGAGAGCCCATGCTTTACTACGGGCAAACAAAAATTCTATGCTAGTAATCAACCATGCAGATGATGGTCAGACACAATACTAAGAAAGCAAGCGGCATGCACAAGTATAAACGTAACAGAGGACAACCACAATCAAACAAGCTAGCGGGACAAAACAACATAGCATTTTCTCTGTTTCATTGCAAAATCACATTTATGGCCCCATGTTTAGAAAGCAAGGCCCATTATTACATATCAACATGGTTAAAAGAAACATCACCACATACGCAAAAGGGACAAATGTATGTCACCACATACTCAAAATCACTACCAAGGTTACAAAAAAATGCTAAGACGACTCGTTGTTCTCCATGACTAAATTCTACATCTTCGTTTGATTCATGAAGAGGCATTGCTTTTCTGAGAGGCCTGAGAGGCTGAGATGCCATTGCGGCTGCCCTCCTCGCATCTGCTGATGCTGGTCTCCAATACTGTTACAAAGTTTAAACTCTTCATGCAATGCACTAAAATGCTCCCAATCTTTACTAAAAATACAATCCCAAGCAGTGTTTGAAAGAGAGGTGGAAGAAAGCTCAAGTATGTCAAGGAGGCTTTCCAAATGGCCAAGAGACTCCCCCACGACCATGGAGAGGTGTATAGTCCCCGAAACGTTTTCTAGCCATTACAATGCCTTCTTCGCGAAAACAATGGGCGTCGCAGGTTTGGCCGCACGGTGAAGCACCTGCGAGCCTGCAGCCAGAGAAACGTTTCTCGCGGTGCAGGCTGAGAGCGTCGCACGCAGGAAGATTGCCGTGACCTCCGGTGTGTTTCTTTTCTTCCTTGCCCTTCTTTTCAATCTTGCCACCGACGAAAGGAGCTCTGATGCTAAGGAGAAGGGTAAACTTTACTTAGTTATTACTTAGCTAGCCGCCCATTACTCTTCAGTAACAATTGTTCAGCTACAGATTTGCTGCGCCCATAAGCATCAACATGGTCTTCAATTGGAAAATAAGGCAACGCCTCCAATTCACAGTCCAGACCCCATCGTGCAGTTGGTCTTGTTTGTGCTGAAGTGCTGACGCTTTGCCCGGATTAGGGGTCAGGCAACACGGAGGCCGACTGCCCAGGCTATCATCGTCGGTCGCCGGCGACCTGTACCCCGCCAAGAAGATGCATCTAAGCGCGAACGAAGGGATCGAGGACGTGTGGTTCGCGGTGACGGGCGGTCAGGGCTTCGTCAGAGCTGCCCTCTACCTCGAGCTACTCCGCCGCGGCACCCGCGAGGTCCAGTCCCTCGACCTCCACGCCTCCTCCTCCTGGTCCCAGCAGCACCTCGACGCCGGCGTCCGCATCATCCAAGGTCATGTCAAGGAAGAGCAGGACTACGTGATCGGGAGGAGGAAGAGGTGAGGGAGAGATCGAATAACTGTGTGGGAGGATGGATGTGCGGTCGACCGAGCGGGGAGAAGCCGCGAAGGAGCGCCCGGGGCGAAGAGCTAGCGGGCCTAGACGATAACCGTCCTTTACGATATCTATCTACGAGAGGGGGATGGCGAGATCCATCTCGCATGGCTTTGGACCTCGTCTTGCCGTCGCCGCCGAGCAAGACGCCACCGACGAGAGCGAGGCTACCACGCTCCACGCCGAGGTCGAACTCCGCTTCCGATTCGAGGATGTAGATGCGGACGGAGTCAACGTCGGACGCCGCAGACAAGGAGGGGAGCGGGGCGATTAAGTGGGCACACCACGATAACATCCCTTCCCAGCTCGTTTCCGACACACAGAAACAGTTCCCTTTCAAAAAAGACTAGTCCGATATGGAAACCAAATCCGAAACAGTTTCCTTCCCGGTAAACACTCGTCCTATATATAGAAACCAAATCATCGATTACTTATATATATACACATAAAAAAGAGGACAGATTACAAGATCAAACCCCACGATCATCACCTCTGAGTTATGCCGCTAACCAGCGACAGGTTTATGAGCCGCGCGCTCCGCATCCACCGCCTAGTGAAGCGAGGTCTCGCCGCGGTCCTCCGCTATACTTGGCCATGCAGCCCGCGGCACGAAGGCCCGGCACGAGCACGGCCCGGCCCGGTGGCGAGCGGGCCCAAGCTAGCACGGCTCGGAAGAGTAGGCCGTACCTGGGCCTTACCCTAGGCACGTGGGCCGGCACGGCACGGCCCGGTGGCGGCCCGGCCTGCTAAGAGCCCCACCCCCGAACGGCAAAAAACCTAGCCACATTCCTAACCCTACCGGCCTACCCCGCGCCGTGCAACCTCCCTCCAGCAGGTGCGACGCCGCCGCCTCCCTCCGCATCCCTCCCGCAAGCGCGATGCCGCAGCCTTTCCCCCTCCGCATCACTGCCGGCTCCCACAGGCGCGACGTCGCAGCCTCTCCCCCTCCGGCATCACTCGCGTAGCGCCGTAGGTCATAGCTTCTCCCCTCCGCATCCCTCGCGCACAGTCCTGGATCTGGGCCCCGGACGCGCTGCCGGTGCCGCGCGGGACACCCCTCCCTCCCCTCGGCCCTCGCGCACGGGCGCCGATGCCGCGCCCCCACGCGGACGCCCCCTTCCCGCCTCCACTCCGACGGCCGCGGTGGCTAGGGTTCCGCGGGCTGCAGAGACCTGGCGGCCGCGTTCGAGCGGAGATCCAGAGTGAAAGCATCTAGGCCCCTAGATTGGATTTCGGTGATTAATGACAATATAAGATTACTATGACTAACGTGTGTTTTGCAGAGGCAAATAAGTTAGGTCATGGTAATGGAGATCGATTGGGCGATCATGGATGTCATGCCTCTATGATGGAAATCGTTTCGGTTTTCAAAGGATGGACGACAAGGTTAATGATGACTAGTTCTAAGTGTCGATTGGAGTTGGAGAGACACTTAGAGTAGTTTAGAACTTTGTTTTTCCTTTGACCGTACTATTAAGGGGGGTATGGACGGGTAGCTTGACCTAGGTGAGTCTATTAAGTTAGGTGTGGTGCACACTTGTTAAAACTAGCACTAGGTAGCTCCTAAATATACCTAAGATCCTTTGGAGCAAACTTCATTCACAAATGATCGAGAGTTGGAAGTGAATGGAGGGTCAAAGACTAACCGGACGCTGGCTCCGGTGCGACCGGACGCTGGCCGCAGGGTCCGGTCAGTTCATTTGACTGAGGTGAACCAGTCCGGTTTGACCGGACGCTGGAGAGGTCAAGTGACCGGACGCTGAGGGCCAGCGTCCGGTCGACTCCAGTAAGGTTCCAGAGAAGAGAATCTGTGACCGGACGCGTCCGGTCAGTGGTGACCGGACCCTACCAGCGTCCGGTCAACACATAAACACTGGTGTGCGGGTTGAACTGACCAGAGCGTCCGGTCACCCCGCAGAGGCAGATAACGGTTTGTTTTTCAGCCCATGTTATAAATAGAAGCTCCACTCGTGTGTGGAGTTACTTTTTGCTCATTCCAACAGCTGAGAAACACACTTGTGAGTGCCAAGAAGAGCAAGATACTAGTGAGGTGTTTGTGATTTGAGAATCCAAGAGTGAAACCTCATTAGTGAATCAAGAGTAGCAAAGTGTGCATCAATCTTCTCATTAGGCTTCGCATGGTCAAGTGAGAGTTCGTGCTTGTTACTCTTGGTGATCGCCATCACCTAGACGGCTTGGTGGTGATTGGGAGTTCGGTGATCATCCGGAGAGCTTATGGGTGACCTGACTCAAAATTGTGAGCGATTGTGGGTGATTCACCTCGACGGAGTGTTGAAGAATCAACCCGTAGAGAGCACTTGATCCTTGCGCGGATCAAGGGGGAGCTACACCCTTGAGCGGGTGCTCCAACGAGGACTAGTGGGGAGTGGCGACTCTCCGATACCTCGGCAAAACATCGCCGCGTTTCCTCTTCTCTCTTTACTTTGAGCATTTACTTTAAGCATTACTTTGAGCAATTCAATTCTTGTCATTTACATTCCTAGAATTGACATGCTAGAGTAGGATTGGAACTTAGGTTGCAAGTCTATTTGTGTGATAGAACATTACAAACACTTTCTAGGCACAAGGGGTTAATTGGGCTATCAATAGGATTTAATTATTGCAAGAAAATTTAGAATTAGCCCAATTCAAACCCCCCCCCTCTTGGGCATCTTGATCCTTTCACGGAGCACCGCGCTCCTAACTCCCTTCCTCTCCCACCTCTGCGCCATGGATGCCAACGCCCCCTCCGCCTCCTCGCCGGTGGCCCCAAGGGCAAGGTCGCCGGCGTCCACTGTATCTCCGGCTGCTCACGCTTCCTCCTATTCCCCCTCTCTCTGGCTGCTCGCGCTTCATCGTGGGCCCCGGGCTGGCCCGGCACGCTGGACTGCCCGTGCTTCTCGGCCCGGCCCAATCTTCTCGGGCCGGCCCGGTCCGATCTTCTCGGGCCGGCCCGGCCCGATAAACGGCCCAGCAGGCCGTGCCTGGGCCGTAGGTCAGGCACGGTGTCCGCCTCGACACGGCCCGGGAGGCACGACGTGCCGTGCCGGCCTGAACCGCATCGGGCCGTGCCTGGCACGGGCCCATGTCGTGCCGGGGCGGGCCGCCCGTTGGACATCTATAGCCTCCGTCGCTGCTCCCGTGGTGCGGTGACCACCGCCGTACAGACAGCAGCATCGCCGTCGCCTCCGGCATTGCGCCAGCTCGGCGAGAACGCGTTCGCGGTCGACACGGATGCCCTGCTCCTGAACCCGTCGCCGGGCGCCGAGTTCCCGCCCTACTTCCTCGCCGCCGTCGAGGCGGGCGGCTATGCCCGGGGCCTTGTCCTGCTCGCGCTCTACCCGGTCATGCGCGCGCTGCCCTGCGGTGCGCGTGTGAGGGCCATGGCCATGGTCTCCTTCTACGGGCTCCGCCGCGACGAGGCGGCCAGGGTCGGCAGGGCCGTGCTCCCCAAGATCTTCTCCCGGGAGGCGCCGGGCGTGCACGCCATCGAGCCGGCGCTGCACGCGTTGCCCAAGGAGGCGAAGGTGGTGGCCGTCAACCAGACGTTCCCGACGGTGATGGTGGAGGCGTTCTTGAAGGAGTACGTGGGGTTCGACGTGGTGGCCGGGAGGGAGCTCAAAGGAGGGCCACGGTACCTCACAGGGGCCATGGCTGAGCTGGACACGGAGAGGGTTGCGCGTTCCCTGGATCAAACCGAGAAGACGACATCGTGCGGCTATGCCCCGAAGCCCGTTGTGTTCCACGACGGCCGGCTGGCGTTCACGCCGACGGCGGCGGCCGCGCTCGCAATGTACATCTACTTCCCCTTCGGCGTCGTCCTTGCCGTTATCCGCATCGCCATCTACATCCTCCTCCCGTGGCGCGTGTCGGCCGTCGCTGCCGCGCTCACCGGCGTGAGGGTGCGCGTCATCGGGGCCACCGCCACTCCCGCAGCGGACGAAGACAGCGGCAAGCCTCACGGCGGGCGGCTCTACGCCTGCAACCACCGCACGCTCCTCGACGCGGTTGGCATCGCCAGCGCGCTCGGGAGGCCCGTCGCCTCGGTGTCGTACAGCCTGGGCAGCCTATCGGAGGTGCTCTCCCGATCCCGCTGCGGCGGCTGACCCGCGACCGCGAGGAGGACCGGCGCCGCATGTCGTCGATGCTGGCGCGTGGCGACGTGGTCGTGTGCCCCGAGGGGACGACGTGCCGGGAGCCGTACCTACTCCGGTTCAGCCCGCTGTTCGCCGAGCGTATTCTACGCAACGTCCACGTCACCTCTCGCCAAGAGCTTGGACTCCGTCTACTTCCTCGTGAACCCTCGGCCGGAGTACAGCGTCCAGTTCTTGAAGCCGGTGAGCACCGAGGGCGGTAAGAGCAGCATAGAGGTGGCAAACGAGGTGCAGCGTGACCTGGCCTCCGCGCTCGGGTTCCAAGGGACAACTCTCACGAGGAAGGACAAGTACCTCCTCCTCGCGCGCCGGGAACGAAGGAGTCGTCAAGACCAAGTAGTACATAGATGTTCGTGCATTGCTACGTACGTACGGCCTGCTAGTTGTACATTTCGATTTGAATCTATTTATTGGTGTAACAAGTGATCTATATTATGCAATCCTCCAATGCGTTGCTACGTTGAAGGTTAAATAGTGTATCCTATTTTCTTTAGGAACTCAAATCCATTTTTATATCTATAAAAAGTTTTCAATTGACTTTCAAACGCAACAGGTTACCTAAATAATGTTTTGCAATTATCAAAAGAACTGATCAATCGTTGCACCATGGCTGTAATATACAAAACTTATGTATTTCACTCGGCACCATTTACAGCAAGGAAACACTATGGCTGTAATTATGAGCTGCAGTCTTCAACATTGGTAATTTTGGAACGTAAGCAACTAGGTTCTTTCAACGTGCATTAAAATCTTCTTCCAACTCATTTTTACGGTGAATAACTACAATCCTCTATA